GCCTGCTGTGTTCATCCATCTCTACACCTTGTTATCTCACATTCTCCAACATCTGCAGTTCCTACTATCTCTGAGGCATTTTAGAAGAGTTTGGCACGGTGGACTAAAAGGAAGAGAAGGATGTGGCAAAGCCGGTTGATTGGATGGTCTCAATCTCAGTGGCAAAGCTCTTTGCACATATTGTTGGAAGTGAAGGTGCAGGAAAGAGGGGTTTAAGATCTTCATTTAAGTTGAAGAAGCCAAGGGGTTACTTTTGCATTTCAGGAATAGTAAGCACTTTTATCAGACAAGGATAAAACCAATAGCGTTTATGTGGTCCCCTCAGAGCTATCAAGTAATGGATGAACCCATTGTCTACCATATCCTGACAACTCTGTCTCCCCTAGATTGAAAAGGAATAAACTAAGGATGCAGTAGATGGGATTGCTGAAGTTAGGGTAATGATGTTACTGGGGTTAAGGCATCATAGGTAAATGTGAGGGTGTGGCTGAGCAATTTGGTAGCTGCAGAAATGATGGTGCGCATATCAGGCCATTTATTTCCTCAGTGTTGCCAATGGATTCTTAGGTCCCTTCCACTTCTTTGTACTTTCTGATGTTTACTGGGTGGCAAAAGACTAAACAAAAAAAATGCAAATCTGAATTGATGCAGGCATGAGTCAGTGCTAGTTCACACTGGATTGATTACATGTTAGTCCGGCTCGGCATTTTGCACGGTTTGGATTAATGATTATCGAATTGTTGGACCACTTTCGGTTTCCATTTATAATACACCACCAGTGGAATGTTGTCTATGGGTCCACTCAAAATCATTCTTGCGGCGGCGGGGGGGAAAGAGCTTCGTTCGATTTGCGCGGACTGGGTAATCCAGTGTAAGGTAGATGGAGGCGAGGCTGCTTCAGACCAGTGAGTAAAGTGAACGCAGAGATAGATATCCTGGTGCTGACGGTGTCTATTTTATGATAAAGGTGAGGTTGATCTTCGGCACAGCGGCAGTGCTGAGGTTCACTGAACTGTGGAAACATCCGCGCTATCCCCACAACCGACAAGAGCACAAAGACCTGCCCCCGGGCTCCGAGTGGCTTTAAATTCATGGAGATCTTCATCCTCTCAAAGAGGTGCGTTTTCGGCTCGCTGTTAAATGTTTGGCTATGGCGACATTTGTGCAGTTTGAGAGTGTTTGAGAGGCGGACACTGTTACCCAGCTATCCAGTTGGGCACCGTGTACCCGAGTTGAGAGTAGATAACTCGAATTACAGCTACATAATTTATGAAGTAAATGATCATTATCAGATTAATTCCAAAATATAACTCCCGAGTTCTTGAGGTTTTCCGGAACTGCGGGCTAACCTGCTCAGCTTTTATTGCTGTGTACCATGGTACATCAAAGAGCTGCAGAACGGCGCTCTGCTGGACTCCGAGATCAAACCAAGTTTAATTTGTTTCGTTGCTATCTAAGATTTTCAGGCGACGCGTAACATTTTAAGCACATAAATAATTCACGTACCTTGCCGTGTTCTTGCACCAAATCTGATGATTAAAATACGAAAAGCGTGGGCTGGGGTAATTTTTCGGGACGGGCATGTTGAAGGGGATCCCAGGGGCTTTGTCTTGTTTGGTAAACGGACGAGTTCGGGGTGAAAATCGGAACGGGCGGGAACCAGAGAGCCGGGAGCGGGCCATTCCCGGGATACAGGGAG